ATTTGCTGCAGGCCTTGTTTTCTAAGGAATTTTGGCTAAAACTTAAAGTCAAAGCAGTAATTGGCTATAAAAGTTCTAACTTCTAATTCCTATCCCTGTCAGTTCAAAATTTTAGTTTTTAGCAACTGAAAGCAAAGAAGAGGCTGGGCAAGGTGGCTCACACCTATAATCCCGGCACTTTTGGAGGCTGATGTGGGTGAATCACTTGAGGTCAGGAGTTGAGACCAGTCTGGCCAACATGGTGAAACACTGTCTCTACTAAATACACAAAAAGTAGCCAGGTGTAGTGGCACACACCTGTAATCCCAGCTACCGGGGAGGTTGAGGCAAGAGAATCGTTTGAACCCAGGAGGTGGAGTTTGCAGTGAGCTGAGATGGTGCCACTGCACTTCAGCCTGGGCAACAGAGTGAGACTATGTTTCAAAAAAAAAAAAGGAGAGAAGAAAACACAACCTCAGAAGCAAATGTGTCAAAAGCACATAAGGTGCTTGATGCATCCTGCTTCTCAGATCCAATTAGCATAATGCAATCAAAATGATGAAACTACCATATTGTGCTGTGAGCTACCAAGACGATCAAAATCCCCATCCAGTACACTTCGACAAAGATCAGAAGAGTTAACATAGACCAGAGGCAAGACAGTCAAGTGTACTACTCTTCTTGTCAAGTAATTCTTTTGCTTCTCCCAATTGATGGAGCTCTCTAACAGGGAGGGGCAAACTACAACCTCCAGGTCAAATATGACATTCCAACTGTTTCTATAAATAAAATTTTATTGGAACACACTCATGCTTACTTACATGTTGTATATTGCTGCTTTGACATAAAATCAGCTAAATTGAGTGGGTGCAAGAGAGATCAGATGGCAGGTAAAGCCTACAATATTTACTATCTTGCCTTTTATAGGAAAAGTTAGCCAACCCATGATTGAGAATAAAGCATTTACCAAATCAACAGCCACATATCAAATACCAGAAGGTGTGTTGATTTTCTCTAATAAAGATATTACAGGAACTGTAACTGAGGCAATGACTCAGTTAACTTTATGGTAGGTAGTCTGTTGCCATCCTCTATTGTTTATCTGTGCTTTTAAAAATAAGTGAATTGAATGGGAATCTGGGCCCAGCACACTTCCGCTGCACAGTCTAGCTAATTAAATTGGAATATAAGTGGGAAGACCAGCCCTGGAAACTTTCTTTTTTTTTTGACAGGGTCTCATTCTGCTGCCCACACTGGGGTTCAGTGATGTAATCACAACTTAACAACAGCCTCAACTTCCTGGACTCAAGTGATTCTTCCACCTCAGCCTCCTGAGTAGCTGGGACCACAGGTGTGTGTTAGCAAACCTGGCTAATTTTTTAATTTTTGTAGAGATGGGGTCTCAAATCCCTGGGCTCAAGCAATCCTCTCACCTTGGCCTCCCAAAGTGCTAGATTTACAGCAGTGAGCCACAGCCCACTTTAAGTCTGACGTTGGTGCTAATCTCTGCAATTCCTCTTGGGATATGGTAATACTTCTGATTTAGTATCTTTTTTTTTTTTTTTTTGAGACTGAGTTTCACTCGTTGCCCAGGCTGGAGGGCAGTGGTGCAATCTTGGCTCACTTTAACCTCCCGGGTTCAAACGATTCTCCTGCCTCAGCCTCCCTAGTAGCTGAGATTACAGGCATGTGGCACCGCACTCAGCTAATTTTGTATTTTAGTAGGGATGGGGTTTCACCATGTTGGCCAGGCTGGTCTTGTCCTGATCTCAGGTAATCCACCCGCCTCGGCCTCTCAAAGTGCTGGGATCATAGGCGTGAGCCATCGTGCCCGGCCTGATTTAGTAACTTAACCAGGGGCAGGAGGTAGCCTGGGGGCTTCTATGTGGCCTTTCCTACCTTAAAGAAGTTTATTTCATAGTTCAGAAAAACCAAGTGACAATTTTCCTAGCTTTTAAGTGTATCTGTCTAAATTATACTTTCAGAAGCCAGCGACATAAACGTAAGGCCAGTTTGCAAAACCTCTGGATACACTGTAATATAATCTTCAGCCAGGGGGTCTACTCATCACCTGGACTCAGGAAACCACCAATCTAACTACAGAGCATAACATTTCAGGTTCCCTGATACTGGCTCTCAGAACATCTAGGTATTCTCCTTTACCCAGTGTAGTTGTCTTTGGAAAATGTCACTGGTCCTTTTAGAGATGGATTCTAAAAATATTAATGTATATCCTTATGGTAGTTTTGCAGTTTCCTTCTCAAGGGGACTCAGCCTCCCCTTCAATCAATGGGCTCTGGGTTTGTAAACTGACTTAGATTTGGAAATTAGCTGAGGGATAACAATGTTCCATTATAACGGCTGGTATCAGCCTTCTGCTTATCATTTCATGCATTTATTTTATAAATCAAATAATACCCTACATGGCTGTCCATCTGTCTCAACTCTAGTAATACTCAAATCTATTGATTGTTGTCAAAAATCTTTATGGGTCAAGGCACCTTGATTGTCATACTGGCATTGCTGCCCATTATGGTAATCGTATTTACCTTTGTTCTGTTAGTTGAGTGTTATTATTTTCTTTTTGCAAGACTTCCAAAGCTCTTACGAGCAGTCAGTCTATTCCCCATTCTGTATCATTATTATTGCTTCCATACTGATCAAATACAGCATCCACATAATATCCTAATTCCTTAACTTCTATCTGCAACTCATCCCAGTTAAGCTTTGGTAACTGTCATGCATGCCCCCACATGGAAGGGTTATTACTATCCTGCTTACCACCCAGAAAACAGTTCTGATTGCCTTTAGATAGGTGGGCTAGTCTCTAAAATCCCATCTTTAAGGGTCTGCTTTTGAAGACTGCTCCTGGCACTAGCATTTTTTGAACCTATCGTCTCAAGAAAACAGAGTTTAAAGCAAAGGTATGAACATTTTTATGACGAATGTTTTATTGACTGGTAAAATGGCAAGGAAGCATGAGGAGAAAAAAGAAGTGAGGTAGGGAAGATGTAAAAACAAAGAAATGTGCTACCAAGATGGCCATAGCTTCATTGCAAACAAAGATGTTTGCCTGGTCTTCCAGGGCATCTCCACAGGGTGCATATGAAGCCACTGCCTCTCCCAGGAGGAAAGGTGAACAATGCTGGCTTCTTTTTATCTCCTGTCTCTCAGTGGTCAAGGTTTGTCCTACCCTAGACATGAACTCTCCCACACTTCAGGGTTGTAGTACCCGTTCCTCTAGGTAGCTTCTTAGGAGGGCAGAGCCTCTGCAGTCCATTTTGCCCAATGTGCTTCAGTCTTTCCTCCTAGTCAGAACTACACGGGGGCCCCTCGGTGTGTGGGGGCAGGTTAGCAGCAGGGGCTGTGGCTGTGACTTTATGACTGTGAGACCTCGTAGCATTTTTGTGAGAATTTGGTCAAGTAATATCCAATGCCTGGCAGTCAGTAGGCACTCAGTAAATGTTAGCTATTATTATGAATAGTAATCAAGTTAATTTTGTGTGTGCGATTCTTACATGATATGGCTGGTAGGAGCATGTTCCCCACCCCTTCTAAGCCTTTGTTAAGCACCACTGTGCTCAGTCACACACTGACATAGCCAAATCTAAGCGACTCAACAGTACCAAGAGCTGTGGTCCACAGCAGCACAGGGCAGTCAGGCAGCAAACAGCTTTGTAGTCAATCCACAAGAATGACAACCACCATCTAGGCAGCAAATAATTATGCAATGGAATGCACTGCTTTTATAGAAATATGACTGGTGATAATGCCTTCCATTCTCTACCCTAAAACATTCTTTTAAATATTTAACTTGTCTCTGAAATCTACCAAGGAAATAAATTGATACTGATTTTTGTTCTATAAATCATAACGACATAGCTCAAAGATAGTTTGCCCATTCACAGAGTCATACATTTGCTTCTGAAACCATCAATACAGGAATCCTCAACTGTCAAGTGTCTGAAGAACATATTTTCTGTGGGAAATTCATGACATTGCCCTCTGAGTTTGGTTAATCATAAATAAATATTCTTCATTTGATGAATAATTCAAATCTGAGTCTTGTTGCCATGGAAAACAAGGCTCTCTCTTCCCATTTTTCTTTATCAGGCACTCAATGCCACAGTCATAATGTTTACTTCCCTTCAGGGAACAACAGCTCTTGACAAGTGGAAATATGACTTCAGCAAAAAAAAACTCCACTCTGTATTTGTTAAACTGCTTCAATATTATGTTTTGATTCCTGCTTTGAATTTATGGAAAGGATTTTTAAGTCAAAGGAAATCTACTGATGAATGTGAGAGGCATGAACCTTGAGACAGCGACAAAGCACATTTTGGGCTTTAAAGAAACACACCATTTACTTGTCTAGAAGCAAGAGCTGAGTTTTAAAAAATAGAAACTGATATCTAATAAAAATATTAGCAGTAACATATATTTAGGTAATTTTGAATCAATTTCCTAAACTGTGCTTTCCTGTTGATGACAGATGTTTATCATGAGTGTCTGGCAATTGCATTGAAACTATTTGATGACCTGTCTGGGTGTGGTGGCCTTGGGAAGCCGAGACAGGTAGATCACTTGAGCTCAGGAGTTCAAGACCAGCCTGGGCAACAAGGTGGAACTCTGCCTCTACGAAAATTACAAAAATTGGCCAGGCATGGTGGCGTGCACTTGTGGTCCCAGCTACTCAGGAGGCTGAGGGAGGAGGATCACTTGAGCCCGGAAGATGGAGGTTGCAGTGAACCAGGATCATGCCACTGCACTCCAGCCTGGGTGACAGAGTGAGATCCCATCTCAAAAAAAAAAAAAAAAAGAAACTATTTAATGACCTAGTTGCTCCCATTCCTGGATTTACATCACTCCCATTACCTGACAACAGATTTGGCTTCATCAGTTCTGATATTTGGTCTTATACCATAAACATGGCATGGAGCTTCCTGTCTGAATCCCTCAGGCCACCCTCATCAACCACCAGCTGGACCCAACCCATTCCCTAACCCCACCCCTGAGCCTACCTCTGGCCTCTAGGAGTCAGACATACACAGGACATGGAGCCAGGTGCCACTGAAAAGAAACATAAGAAATTTATGATAGAGATAAGGAGAAACTATTTGCTTTAGTCTGCACAGGCTACTAGGATAAAAACACCTTTGACTAGGTGTCTTTTAAACAAAAGAAATTCATTTCTCACAGTTCTGGAGATAGGAAGTCCAAGATTAAGGCACTAGAAGATTTGGTGTTTGATGAGGGCCAGTTCCTCTTCATGATCTCACAGCCATCATCTTACTGTAACCTCACATGGCAGAAGGGGCAAGGGACCTTTCTCAGGCTTTTTTTTTTTTTTTTTTTTTTTTTTTTTTTTTTTTTTTTGAGACGGAGTTTCGCTCTTGTTACCCAGGCTGGAGTGCAATGGCGCGATCTCGGCTCACCGCAACCTCCGCCTCCTGGGTTCAGGCAATTCTCCTGCCTCAGCCTCCTGAGTAGCTGGGATTACAGGCACGCGCCACCATGCCCAGCTAATTTTTTGTATTTTTAGTAGAGACGGGGTTTCACCATGTTGACCAGGATGGTCTCGATCTCTTGACCTCGTGATCCACCCGCCTCGGCCTCCCAAAGTGCTGGGATTACAGGCTTGAGCCACCGCGCCCGGCCAGGCCTTTTTAATAAAAGCACTAATTCCATTCATGATGGCTTCATCCTCATGACCTAATCCCTTTCCTAAGAGCTCCACCCTCTTGTTCCGCCTCCTAGTATCTCCCCGGGAAGTAGAATTTCAACATGTGAATTTCAGGACACACCAACGTTCACGGCGAGACCCTATCTCTACAATCATAAAAAAATTAGCACATGCCTGTGGTCCCAGCAACTCAGGAGGCTGAGGCAGGAGGAATGCTTGAGCCTGGGACGTGGAAGCTGCAGTGAGCCCAAATAGTGCCACTGCATTCCAGCCTAGGCAACAGAGCCAGAACCTGCCACAAACAAATAAGTAAATAAAATGAATGAGACAGCTTTAGAAGTACTGGCCTAGAAACATGTCCATACACATTAAGCAACAAGGGCAGGTTGTAAACAACAGGCACCAGAGAGGCTTTACGGTGTACTTTAAACAACAGACCTCCCATTCGGTGACGCAACCTGACTCCCTCCTCTCCTCAACCCCGCGGTCTCCTTTCCTCACTACTCCTCCCCTAATACAGCGCCTTTCCATGATCTTCCGTCTTTTTCTCTCAGGTTCAGCTCTTCCCTCAGCGTCCCGGATCAGAGCCCGGGTAAACTAGTTGTGGACGGAATGCGCTTGCGCTGCGGAACCTCCCAGAACGCGAAGTGGGCGTGTTTCCCCGCCCCCAGGGCGGAGCCCGAGAGTGGTTGGTCCCAGTTAGGGGCCTCCCAGGATTGACTGTGCCTTCCACCCAACCCAAGCGGTCCAACTCGCTTAGATCACTTCCGGCCTCGCCCGGAAGCGCCTCTCGCCCTGTGGTGTGTTTTGAGGACTCTTGTCAGCTGTTGTTTTTCTTGTTCCCTCCTGCTTTTGACAGTGTTCTGCAGACACTGGTGCTAAGGTTGGCATGCTTCCCGCATTTACAGCGAAGCCCTCTAAGAGGGAGGGTTTAGGCCAGATTTGCTTTAAATAAGAACCTGAGAATTAAAAACCGAATTAAAAAGTTGGCCTCCGCCCTGGAGGAAGATAAAGAGCCCTCTCCATCTCTGATGCTTCCTTGTGTGAACCGAATTTCATACATTACTCAACAAATCGATACCCGTGAACTCAGGTACCTTAATAGTAGTAATAACATTATTATTACTATAATTTATAATAGTATTACTATAGTATTATAGTAAGTATAGTAATAGCTATTAGTAGCAGCTAGTAGTAATAACTAACCTTACATTAGACTCGCAGCGAGCAGTCAGTTTTGATCCCTGCTGTGGTTTGATTGCCGCCTCGGAAACTCATGTTGAAACTTAATCCCCAGTGTGGCAATATTGAGAACTGGGGTCTTGAAGAGATGATTGGGTCATGAGGGCTCTGCAGTCCCGAATGGACCAATCCATTCGTGGGTTAATGGGTTATCACGCAGAGAGATTGGTGGGTTTATAAGAGGATACCTGAGCTAGCACACTGAGCCCCCTCACCATGTGATGCCCTACACTGCCCCTCACTCTGCAGAGTCCCTACTGGCAAGATGCTGTCACCGGGTGCGGCCTCTTGACCTTGGACTTCTCAGCCTCCTTAACGGTAAGAAATAAATTCCTTTTCTTTATAATACTATTACTATAATATTATTCTTCATAAATTACCTAATTTTATATATTCTGTTATAAGCAACAGAAAACAGATAAGCCCCTTACAACAATGTCACTATCTTTACCCCTAAGGTGGGTCCCACTATCCTTATTTTATAGATGAGGATGCCAAGGCACAGAGATGTTAAGGAACTTGTCCAAGATCACCTTAGTGATAACTGGCAGAGCTTGAATGAGAATTCAAGCAATCTGGGCTCATGTCCAATAGCACCAACCATTGCATTCTGCTTCCTCTCAGAAATAAACCAGGCATAGAGTAAAATTCATCTGTAGTTCAAGAAACAATTTATTGAAGCTTTCTTTTTCAGTCAAGTTTGGCCAAACACGGGAGAGAGGATAGGAATGGAGACTGAGAAGACGACCAAGTGGTTCTGAGCTCAGAGAATTGGGAAATTGAAGGAGGTAGATTAGCTAAGGGAACATACAAGTACCTGAAACCTAAAAAAAATTTTTTTTGAGGTAAAATTCACATAACATAAACTTAGCCATTTTGAAGTGAACAATTCAGTGACAGAACATTCGCAATGTTGCACAACCACCGCCTCTATCTAGTTCCGAAACATTCCCGTCACCCCAAAGGAAAACCCCAAACTCGTTAAGGAGTTACTCTCTAATCCCTTCTCCCCCGGTCCCTGGCAACCGCCAGTCTCCATTCTGTCTCTATGGATTTATATATTCTAAATATTTCATATAAATGGAATCATACAATAATAAGCCTTTTGTATCTGGCTTCTTTAATTTAGCATGTTTTCAGGGTTCTACATAGCATAAATCAGTACTTCATTTTTTTAATGAGTGAATAAAATTCCATTGTGTGTACATAACACAGTTTATCTATTGATGGACATTTACACTGTTTCCAATTTTTGGCTGTTGTGAATAGTGCTACTGTGAACATGCATGTACATGTACTTGTTTGAGAACTTAGTTTCAATTCTTTTGAATATATATGTAGGAGTGGAGTTATGGGGTTATATGGTAATTCTGTATTTAACTTTTTGAGGAACTATATCCTTTTGAATCCCTTCCTGAAGTCTATAATATTGATATAATAAATAATATTAAATATAATAAATATTTTGAATCAGACTTTCTCAGTCTCAGCACTGTTGACATTTGGGACCAGAGAATTCTTTGTTGTGGGAGGGCTGACCTTTGGTTATAGGAATTTTAGCAGCAATATTGGCCTCTACTCACTAGATGTCAGTAGCATCCTCCCGCTTAAATCACCATTAATGTCCGGAGACATTGTCAGATACCCTCTGAAAAGCAAAATTGGCCCCCTTCCCACTGAAAATTACTGTTTTAAAGGATTCCCCATAAACTTGGAGCAAATGTGGCTAGCACTAAAGCAGAATACTAAAACAAAGTAATGACCTTTAAGAAATGCATATTCCTTAGAAGTCTTCCTGAGTATACAGGAAGTATTTTTTGTTTACTATGTAATGGTGTTTAGAAGTTTTTAGATTTACAAATGTTTGACAACCAGAAAGGTCTTATCATTAAATATTCATATACCTTTCAAATGTAACATCAGTAATAAAAATCCGGCTCATCCACAACGCCAAGAAATAGAGCTTCTCCCCCATCCCAGGCACATTACATACTAAATCACATTTATAGCATACTGCATCACATATTTTTAAGATGGCAACTAGGAGCAAGATTTATAAGATTTTTTTGATATCGTAATATTTATTTTTTTAAATAAAATTTCAGGCAGGGCCCATGAGGAATGTCATTTTTTTTGGTCTAGCCAAATAATGGAAAAACAAAAGCTACTTTTCATTATTGGGATACAGCGAACCAGAATGAATCTTTTACATTTCCTGTTGAAGATCTTGGTGAGATAGTTGTGGGAAACTGGAGTATGTAAACACCTTTGCTGTCACAAAGCTGTTAAGATCAAAACTGTTACGGAAATGGATCGAGCAGCCTTAGGCACAGATGGTATTGTTGTAGAATCCACAGCAGTTAGTAAGGGCCATGGCACTGAACTCCTTGTCTTCCCAGAGACCAGAAAAAGAAGGAGCGTTGGTGCCATTCAGAGAAGTACTGCAAAGAACATCCAGAGAGGTACATATTGGGTCAGATAGGAACAAAGCAACAAAATATAGCAATAAGTTATATTAAGCAGCTGAAAACAAACAAACAAAAAAAACCTGTAAATGGATCTGTCAGCCGTGACCAAATAAACAAAACCCAATTACATTTCTTTTCTCATTCATTCCCAAGATAATACTAGCAAGAAACGCTAAACTATGTGTCTGCTCCTTTTCCCAATTCCTAACCACAGTCCATTTGGAAATTTACAGATACCCCTGAGTCAGAGTGTATGGCTTATAATGATTTAGTATTGAATTTATTCTAAAAAGTAACGTGGTATTCCAAGGCCACCTTCCTCTTGAAAATAGCTTACACTTAATTAGTATAAATTAATTGGACAAAAACATTACGTCTTTCATATTCTAGATGCTAATGATCTTTAGTATGTGACTTTAGAAATCCACCAAAATGCCATAAGAACGTAAGAATCAGGCAACATGATGAATGCCCATCTTTACAAAAAGTAAAATTAGCCAGGCATGGTGATGTGTACCTGCCCTGTAGTCCCAGCTACTTGGGAGGCTGAATTGGGAGGATTGCTTGAGCCTGGGCCAAGATTGTGCCACTGGACTCCAGCCTGGGCAACAGAGCAAGATTGTGTCTCAAACAAACAAAAAGAATCAAACTATGCCAGAGCAATGATGACTCCAGCTCATAACTCATCTTTTTTTTTGTTTTGAGATGGAGTCTCACTCTGTCACCCAGGCTGGAGTGTGATGGCACCATCTCAGCTCGTTGCAGCCTCCACCTCCCAGGTTCAAGCAATTCTCCTGCCTCAGCCTCCCAAGTAGCTGAGATTATAGGTGCCCGCCACTATGCCCAGCTAATTTTTGTATTTTTATTAAAGACGAGGTTTCACCATGTTGGTCAGGTTGGTCTTGAACTGCTGATCTCAGGCGATCCCCCCACCTCGGCCTCCTAAAGTGCTGGGATTACAGGCATGAGCCACCACACCCAGCCATAACTCATCTTTAATAGTGCATCAAAAGAATTTTTTAAAAAATATGTTGGTTGCCTTCTCTGATGATAACCTCCAAACACAGGAGGGGCACCATTCATTAACTTGGCCCAGTAACCTGTTAAGCAACTAGTACCTGAATATCTACCTATATGGTGAACAGATCACTTAATAACTTCCAAATGTTTGTTTGTTTGAGACAGGGTCTCATTCTGTCACCCAGACTGGACTGCAGTGGCGTGGATCATAGCTCATTGCACCCTCTAACTCCTGGGCTCAAGTGATCCTGCCACCTCAGCCTTCCATGTAGCTGGGACTACCGACACACACCACCATGCCAGGCTAGTTTTTTTGTTTTTTGGTTTTTTTTTTTTTAGTAGAGATGTGGTTTCACCATGTTGCCCAGGCTGGTCTTGAACTCTTGAGCTTAAGTAATCCTCCTGCCGTGGCCTCCCAAAGTGCTGGGATTATAGGTGTGAGCCACTGTGTCTGGCCCATAACTTTAAAATGTATCTCCAGCTCTGATTTCTCTCTGGCAGCCCAGACCTGAGGTGGTTTTTCAGTACCTTCATAGGGTGGTCCTGCAAATACCTCCAAGTTAACACATCAAAAACTGAATTAAGCCTGGGCATGGTGGCTCAGGCCTGTAATCCCAGCATTTTGGGAGCACAAGATAGGATGATCATTTGAGGCCAGGAGTTCAAGACCAGCCCAAGCAGCAAGTGAGACCCCATCTCAATAAAAAAATATATACAAAATGAAAACCGAACCAAGCCATAATCCTCTCTCTTTTACTCCCATTCCTGAAACTAGTCCTCCTCTGTGAATGAAGGGCACTCCTTAGACCCACTTGCTCATGCCAGAAAAAAGATAGTCATTTGAGACTCCTTCCTCTTCCCCACCCCACCTCTTCCTCCTATCTAGCCAATGACCAATCCTATTAATTCTACTGGATCTAGTGTATCCAACTTCACAACCACTTAGTATCAATTCTTACTGTCTCTCACTAGGACTATTATAGCAGGCTATTTTTTGGACTCCCTGTCATCCAAATGACTACCAGAATGATATTTTGAAACAGCATAGTTGATCATGCCAGTGTTCAGAATTCAGCAGGTCAAAACCTAAATTCTTTCGTATTTCATAAAAGGCTTCTTATAATCTCTCAGCCTTTTTTCCCACAACTCTCTTCACTAACCCATATATTACCACCAATACATACACACATTTGATTTGAAGGCACCAAACATTCTAGTTCCTCAAATCCTTCCTTTCATGTGTTCCAAAACTAGTTCTTTTAGATGAATGATATATCCTCTTATTTTCATATTCTAGATTTTGGTAAACAAGTTCATTTTTACACTACCTGTATTCATCATGATTTTATCAATTCAACTTTATCCTCTCAGTCTTCATTTCTGTCTGAAGAAATCTATAACATTTTAGCCACTTATAACCATTGCTAAGTCTTTACCTATAACCTTTCTGTATTCCAGTCACAATAAGTAGAGTAATTTCTTTTTTTAAAGTTAATATAAAATAGAGACACAGTCTCGCTATGTTGCCCAGGCTTGTCTTGAACTCCTGGGTTCACGCAATACTCCTGCTTCGGCCTCCCAGAGTGTGGGGTTGGATGTGTAAGCCACCATGCCCAGCCAGTAGAGTAATTTCTTATCAGGGAAATAATTCTTCTTTTCTTTACTTCTTCCCTTGCTTCTCTGCTTCTCAGTAGCCCACCAATAGAGTTAAACCCTGTCACTGGAGCATACTAAGCTAATAATGAAGATGCACCCTATAAGAGAAAAGAACACTGATCTAGGCCATTACCAGTACCCACAGCCCTTCTCATACACTATTCAATCTCAACAGGATTACCCTGGAGACCTGAGAACCATGGGTAAGAAAAGGGAATGGGCTTCTGGTACTCACCTCTGAAAGAGCTCTCTGCAGCACATGTAGGTCTCATAGGTTCTATTGGTGAAACTTGTGTTTAGGAAGGAGACGCAGTCAGGTTCCCTGGGGATATAGAGGATTCCTGGATAAAGCAGACAGAGATACCAGGGGAAAGATTTGACACATGCTTCTCTTCATTCTTTCTGTATGAATTGAGGAAACTTGATTAGGTGCCTTTGCCATGTTTCTGTGGAATGGATGGATAAATCAATATTCCCAAAGACATCCTGTCATGATCTAGGGAAGTGATCTCTGCTGCCCCTGTTCTCAAGGACAATTCCACCTTCCTCATATTATTCCTCCAACCATCACCCGCATGCAGCAGCATCTCCATCAGAGCTGAGGCACCTACCTGCCACACAGGCACTGATAAGGGATACACAGGCCCCTGTGAAGAGGGCTCTGACCACAACCTTGGACAAGTCACTCTTCCGGTGAGGTACTATTGATGCTGTAGACAATAAAATAAAATAATTTCAGCTTTTTCCCACCAGGCAATCAGGTAAATCCCATGAGTCCCGACTTAGAAGAAAGCAGAGGAACAAAACACAGCTGATGAAGAGCATCCTTATTACCATCCACCTGAGACTGGCCAGTGTTGCCCTAAGAAATGTGTGTATACATTAGTTCTGAGGGATCACTAACTTAGACCTTCCTCAGATCAAGGATTGAGTGTCTGACCCTCATTTTAATGGTTCTGTGAACATACCCAAGACATATCTGGATCAAGCAAGGCTCTGGGTTGATCTAGACAGGTACAAATGCCTGGCGTTCGCCGCTTGAGATATGCACTCTTAAGCCTGGACCAGAATTACATGGGCTATTTTGAGACACAGGGCTAAGGAATGCAACACTCACCTAAGACTTAGTCACACAATGCATATCCCACTACTAGATGGCAATCTCATAGTCAGACAGTAATCAGGCATCAAGACTACAACAATGTAGACAGGTGTTTAACAGAAGGGGAAAAGGTAAATTGGAAGGGAATTATTTCCCCCTTAAATTAAATTGGCTACCAAATACATGACTTAAATGACTACCTCAGAATATAATTGCCTTTAAAAAGGGACACACTGAGCTATATTTATTATAATCTATTCCAAAATTCCTTCCTTTCTTCCTTCCTTCCTTCCGTCCTTCCTTCCATCCTTCCTTCCTTTCTTTCCTTACCTTTTTTTCTTTATACAGGACCTCCCCCTGCTGCCACCCATGCCAGAGTGCAATGTTATGATCACTGCTTACTGTAGCCTCTATTTGGGTTCAAGCAGTCCTCCCACCTCAGCCTCCTGGGTAGCTAGTACTACAGGCATATGTGCAAACATGCCCAGCTAATTTTTAAATTATTTGTAGAGACAGAATCTCACTATGTTGGCCCCAGGCTGCTCTCAAACTCCTATAGCAAGCAATTCTCCTGCAATGGCCTTCAAGTGTTGGGATTATAGGTGTGAACCACCACATCCAGCCTAAGATCCATTTCTAACTTGTATCTTCCAAACTTGGGATCTGCTAGTCATCCCTGTGCCCCTGCACTCAAGGACAATTCCACTTTCCTCATATTATTCCTCTGCCCGTCACCCGCATGCAGCAGTATCTCTAACAGTCTAAACAGATCTGTGTCTGCTTCAAAAACCTACTCCTTTAACATTTGTACTTGAAGATTTAAATCCAACACTTTATACTACTCTCCCTTACTCTGTATCTGCCTTATGTGCCTGCTGCTTTTATTTGTTGTAATTTCTTGTGCTTCCATTGAGGACAACTAATGAGCAGCCTAATTTCAAAAAGTGTCTTCACTACTGAATAAAATATGAGGCCAGGTGCAGTGGCTCACACCCGTAATCCCAACATTTTTGGAGACCACAGTGGCAGATCACTTGAGTTCAAGACCAGCTTGGCCAACATGGTGAAACTGTTTCTTCTAAAAATACGAAAAAAAAAAAAAAATTAATGGGCTTGGTGGCACACACTTGTAATTTCAGCTGCTTAGGAGGCTGAGGCGTGAGATTCGCTTGGACCCAGGAGGTGGAGGTTGAAATGAGTCGAGATCACACCACTGCACTCTAGCCTGGGCAACAGAATGAGACTCTGTCAAAAAGGAAAGAAAAAAAGAGAGAGAGAGAGAAAGAGAGGCAGAGGGGAGGGAGGGAGGAAGAGAGATCTTATATATGCTCTATTCCAATGTAATGGCAAAATAGAAATAATATCATTATGTTTTCTTCCTCATAGAGAAAATGAAAATAAAATTAGCCTTTGAGGCCTTCAAATCAAAAGGAAAAAAAGTAACAATTTGAGATTAGGGCTCTGTGCGTAGCCAGGTAGCATGACTGCCAATTAGGTCCAAGTCAATTACAATCTAAGAAATGGGTCCATTTCACATCAGCTTCCTTATCTGATCCCAACTTGTACTGAAGCACTAAGACTACCCGCTACAGAAGCTGGGCTCTGGCTGTCTTACTGGGGAGCTGGGAAAATGGATGAACTCACTCAAGCCTCCTAGTGTGATTCCTATGGAACTAAGATTGGCAAATCCACAGAGTGAAAATGTTGTAATGATTTCAGCTCTCACCTGGGGAAAACAAAAATAAATAACCAAATAAATTCAGTCCCATGTATGCAGTCTTATAATCAAAATAGAACTTCCAGAGTACAGAGAGCCCCCAGTCTTTCCCATGGTTTCCCAAGGAACATAAAAGGATGCTCAGAAAATAACTGGTTCCCTGAGTTACTATAGGGAAAATGACATGGAAACCACCATGGGCCTCATTGCCCAACGCTGTTCTTGTTGAAGGCTATGAATAAGGAGAAGGCCTGGGAATGAGAAGGACTGTGAAGGAAGAGGAGAGAGAAAAAGAAAGAGATATAGGATATTAATTTGGAGCAGTTTAAACTTAAAATGAAGAAGGAGACCATAGACCATCAAAAGACAGTGTCTGCCCTGGACTGCCCCAGCTGTAAAGACCTAGCAATTAATTATAGAGAGAAGTTGGGTCAGAGTTGGGACAGTGGTTGGCGGGTATGCCAGGTAATAGCATGCAACCCTATAATAGCTCAGGCGCTGCAGATGAGCCTGCTAGGTATACTCTTTTGTTTGCTTTGTAATTAGGCCTGCGACCCTGGAAAGGTATCTGTGGGTCTACAACATACCTGTGTGGCACTTTCTGTCTACCCTCAGATAATCATGGCTGAGACCTCACAGTGTTTATGCTTTTTGGATTGTCACTTACAGAAATCCACTGTTTCTCTCCCTCAATCCACTCTTCCACTCCAGAGAGACGTTTGTTCTTATATTGAGACAGTTGCTGATAGGCCACAAACTCATTTGTGAAGAACTTGATTCCCACCAGCTCAGCCACCATTGGACAATCTGTCCACTCTACACCCATCATGAAAACCATGGGCCTTAGAATATAGGAGCAGATGACCTGAGTGAAAGAGAGAGATCCTAGGAAAAAGAAGGACTAATAACAAAGGTCAGGTGCCAAGGACCTTCCCTGGAGCCTTGGCCCAATCTCCTCCACCCTTCTATTCATGCTCTCTCTTAGCTTACTGTGGGTCAGGAGGACATGCATGGTTGAAGGGCTACCTAACCACATCCCAGAGAGAGCCCAACAAATATAATCATTTACCTGGAAAGTGAGCCCCTGTATGTCCACCAATTCCCCCAGCCAGGAGAGGGCAGCATTGATGAAGGCTAGCACAGCCAAAAAGGCAACCAGGTTGGCTGCTACATTAGCAGCAAGACCTATGGCATCTGTGGCTCCATTGCTTGCAGCTTCCAGGACATTCCTCTCCTTCCTGTGATTATTGGGCAGAGGGAAAGAGTAGGGTATCTAGAGTAGTCTCAGCCCCTCAGAGAAAAGAGATCCTACTCTCCTTCTTGTACGGGAGGAGGGTGCAAGGCCAGTGTAGAAGGTGACAGGAGTTCCTCAGTGACACTATTAGTGGAAATTACTCTGAAGCTGTATCAGATATAATTGTCATATAATTGCACTGATGGCAAGGATAGAGAGCTAGTGGCATACAGAAGCTAGTGCCAGGTGGGAGGGTTAAATGAAGAAAACCAGCATAATTAGCAAGCAGCAGAGATAGGCAAGAAGGAATATGGAATCGCATTATTCCCCCTCAGGGAGATGTGAAGTCTCTACCACCACAGTGCCACTCTTAACTGCAGCTCACCATCTCCCAAAGCATTTTTGCCTCCTTGGACTCACCCACGGGGCAGTTTTACCCCTTCCTCACTCTTGAACTTGGACTCCTCCACTTCTGGATACGCCAGTTTTGACAAGGCAAGAGCACAAGGGGCAGCCATCACAGAGGCAGAAATCAGGGATGATGCATCAACCTGTAAGGCCAGACTTAGGCATCAGTGTTTCTATTAAACCCAACTCAAGCTCACCCAGGAGTGATCAAGCAGACTGTACCTACCCCAAAGGATATGAAGGCTCCCAACACAGTGCCAGAAATGGTGGCAAACCCTCCGGTCATCACCGCATGGATTTCAGAGAGTGTCATGTCCGCAAGGTAGGGACGGATGAGCAGAGGTGCCTCTGTCTACCAACAGGGAGAAAATAGATTCCACGAAGGTGCAACTCCCCACACCAGAGTGCCCACCCCAGCCCCAGGGGCTGGACCCACTAGACACACGTCCATCCAGTGTGAGCACTGTTCAGTGAGGTACAGCTTTACTTAGTGAGCACAGAGCCCTGCTATCAGGCCCATCCAACATCTGCCTTACTTCTTCTAGCACCCAATCATGTCCTGGCTGGCACAGTTCTCACCTGTTTCCATATATGTCTGTCTCATCTATCGACATGTTAAAATGTTACAGAAGGCTGGGCATGGTGGCTCACACCTGTAATCCAGCACTTTGGGTGGCTGAGGCGGGCAGATCACACGGTCAAGAGATTGAGACCATCCTGGCCAATATGGAGAAACCCCGCCTCTACTAAAAACAGAAAAATTAGCTGGGTGTGGTGGCGTGCACCTGTAGTTCCAGCTACTCAGGAGGCTGAGGCAGGAGAATCGCTTGAACCTGGGAGGCAGAGGCTGCAGTGAGCTGAGATTGCACTATTGCATTCCAGCCTGGTGACAGATTGAGACGCCGTCTCAAAAACACAAAAGTTATAGAAGAGAAATGGTATATTTTATTTATATATTCTCAGTATCTAAAACCACACACTTACGGAACTTATGGAATGCGATGCACTTAATGAGAATATATTAGATACTTAAACAGTACTCATTAAATGAAATGCATATAGATGATCCACACCCCCTGCTTATGAAATAAGCAAAAGAAATAATGTTTGTGATAATGTTATGAAATTGTGAAGACCCAACTATGTAAGCCATATCTAGCGCTGACTTAAGATAATGGTATCTATTATTTCACAAATGCCAACTATGTGCATAACACTATATTAGATGCTAAGGACATTAATATGAATAGGCAAAGTCCCTACTCTTAGAAGCTTATAGTCTCACAGGAAACAAGGCTGATTATGTATAATTTCAGCAAAATGTGGAATGCTATGGTAAAGTACCTGGAAGTACTCTGAGAACATTTCAGAAGCAGCCTAGAGCCTTGGGAGAGAAAGACCTCAGTACTAACTCCCTGTAAATGTGACAAGTCATTGTCTCCAACACTGAACTGGTCAGTCAGTAACACATATGGAGCACCTACTCCATACAGATGAGTTTACCAAGCAAGTATTATGTGGAAGAGGCCTTGGCCTTAGCCATGAGCAAGACAAGTGATTTTTTTCTTCCTTAGAGACCTTGGAAACCAAGCACCGCAGGGAGTCACAGGGAGAAACCAGAATGAGGACCAAACACCCTTTATAGCCTCTGAAGAGGGATATGAGTTGGACCAGAACATTCCCTACATTCCTGTGTAGGAAGTGGTGGTTAGAAGTGGTGAAGGCGGCCAGGTGTGGTGACTCAGGCCTGTAATCCCAGCACTTTGGGAAGCTGAGGCAGGTGGATCACCTGAGGTCACGAGTTCAAGACCAGCCTGATCAACATGGAGAAACCCCGTCTCTACTAAAAATACAAAAATTAGCCAGGCGTGGTGGCGCATGCCTGTAACCCCAGCTACTTGGAAGGCTGAGGCAGGAGAATCACTTGAACCTGGGAGGCAGAGGTTGCAGTGAGTCAAGATTGGGCCTGCATTCCAGCTTGGGCAATGGGAGCAAAACTTGCCCCGCCCCCCCACCCCCACAAAAAAAAAGAAGTGATGAAGGCTATCTCTCCAGATTAAGTATTCCCAGGAAAGTATGATTAGGCACAAAGGGTGAATGCAATGAGCAGAGTCTTCTTTTAGCTTCTCAATTCTTTCTCATCTGAGATTGGCTGCCCCACAGTCTTCATTTATTTGACTTTTCACAAGGAAAGCATACTCTTGTTTTGTGCCAAATTATCAGTTTCTTAGAAGATCAAAAAGCCTCAAGGTGCTTACCATACCCACAAAGATGTTTCCTGCCACAGCCAGGGTCTCTGTGGCGGTGGTGCCCATAGTGATTTGCAAAAACCAGGCGACCTAGAAGAATACAGACACCTAAACCATTAATGTTAGCAGGAATCTTGGAGACCATCATGCAAAACCTCTCCTCTTCTGTTTTACTGATAAGGAAACTGAGCCTAGAGAAGTAGTGCAGCAAGCCCAGGCCAAAAACCAACTTACGAACAGAGCCTTAACCAGAACTCAGGACTCATGGCCTTTAGAACAAGTACATTAAAACTCAGTATGAAAGGCAGTCCAGCTCATCTTCTCTCTCTGCTCGGCCCTCAGCCTACCTAAGGTCTGGGCTGACCGTTTGCTATCAGGCATTCCTGAGAGGGTCTGCCTTTTCCCATTGTTTCTAACACTGTAAAGCCTGGCTATAGGCATTTTTCCAAAGCTGAGAGATGACAAGAGGAAGGCCCGTCTCCCGACTGGTGTAGGAAAATGACTCACCTTTTGAACTACCCATTGTACAAGGCCCAGGTAGTAGAGAATGGACATCACACATCCAAAGAAAATGATAATTGGTAAGGTCTGTAATGAGAATGGTGAGTAGGTGGTGACGTGTTACATTGCATACTCTGTGTAGACCATAAATGGACTGTGTTTTAGGCTTCTAAGTTAAGCACTTAGCATTCCAAGGGTATCTCATACAGTGTAGGTATTTAGTACCTACACAAGCTAACTAGGAATATATTTAAAATATGTTAAATCCATTGCCCCATCAGTACTAAACCACAAACTGTTTTCTGAGCCTTTTCCCCTAATTTCCATTTCATCCAATGTTAGGGTGGCAGTGACCAAAGGGAAAGAGATGGATGCTGTTTCCTTTACTGATGGAGTTAAACCCTCTTCTTAGGGTCAAATTGGTATACTGGGGGGCTGATACCTTGGATACACACTTTCAGCCTCTGCTTTACTCCTCTACCCCTCCATAGACTGTCATTTCTGCCTATAAAACAGTTATCACCTGAAAAGCAAAGACATCCTTCACCAGCATATCCCCAAAGACAAAACTGGAGCCAGCAACAGTGTAATTCAGGAAAATCTGAAGGGAAAATAAAAGAAAAAGAGAAGACTGAAACCCAAAAGGACACATGGGAAGATGAGACCAGCCCCGTTTGTTCTGAATACTTACTGTTGTTGTACTTACTGGGCTGGCCTCCCTTTGACAGCCCAGGGGCAGGCTATTATATGACCCCATGAGCTCTTTATTCATATTTTTAGTTGTATCCTAGTATACTCTTTCCTTTCCCAACCAGATCTCCCACCACATCATTCACAAGGTACAGCTGAATCTTCTCATGCTCCCCTCAAATCTCCTTTCTCTAGGGTTCTAAAAGAGAAAAGCCCTCACATTTAATTTCTCATACCTGAACCTGCTCTCCCAGCCACTTAAATGCATTATATCCAAGATCAGTTCTGATGACCAAGATCCCAAAGACAAACTGAAGACCTAGGCCCCAAAACACTGCCCTCCAGGATACCTAGGATCAATAAGAAAATTATTCCAATGTGAGTTCTACTTGTCCATTACGTGGTTGGAATTTTAAACATGTATTCTGGGTGGAACCAACCTAGAATGTTAACAGTAAGTCTAAGGTCACATGGTGTAGGAAGCAGGGGCAATGGTAGGGAGAAACAGGGCAGTAATATATAAAAAGCCACATATGCCCATAAGATTTTTAAAAAATGTGTCTGGAGGTTAGATGACATATATGTATGCATACATACATACAAATAAAAGTGTCATAAACCATTATTTTAATAGTACTAAGTGCAATGCAAACTGATTTTCTACTGTATTCTATTTTCTTTCCTTCCTTATTTTTTTTCTTTTGTCCTTTCTTTAACATTGGCCTAGTTCCACAAAATTGATATGAAGATTAATTAATGGATCACAATCTACAGTTTGAAAATAAGTGGTCTAGGGCCTCTGAGAATTTTTTAAACTTAGGAACAAAATTGTCCAAGAGGTAAATTCTAGGGGTGGTTATGAACTTAGTTCTATGCCCTTGTAATTAATACTTGATGCATATGCTTTATGATTAGCACTTGGCCCTTAGCCATGTATTGCTATACCCAACCCAAATACCCAAAACTCACTGCACTGTGGTGTTTGGAGCAGGCAAAGAGGATGAGGATGAACATGCAGATTCCTGCGAAGGAGATGAGCTGCTCTGGCCTTTGGGCTGTGTCTAGAGCCAGCCACAGTATAAGGCCAACCAAGGAGACTCCTGCAAACACCCTAAAGAAGGAATGCCGGGACCACATCATCAACTCAGTGACTCAAAAACAACATATAGAGAGTCTGAAAGTTATTTTCTCATTCCTGGCCTGTAATCAAAGGCCATGTGCATGCCGTTGTTAGAGCTGTGGCTGCTGTCAAATCCAGTTCAGAATATATACAACTCTAAGTCTTCTCTTTAAACTCTAGGGAATTTTAAAAGGCACAAGTGGGTGCAGGAAGTCTGAGAGACTAGAGGGAAAAAAGCATAAAAAGTAGGAACTAAGGGAGACACCGATGTCCACCAAATCAATTTGATCACTTAATGCAGCTCCAAGGCTCTGTGTTCTGATTATTTCACTGAAGAGGACTATAGTTTTTCTCATTTCTGAACACAGGCCTTGTGACAGTCAGACTAAAACTCTCCTCTGAAACTAAAAACTTCTCCTGCACCCTAGCAATGTTAAGATCCAAGGCTACAAGAAACTAAACTGAGGTCCTGTGCTCAGAGGCTTGTTGCTATTTTTCTCTGCGCCTGGTTCTGAAAAGCGTATGTGCAGGTCTGAGAGACTGATCAGCAGCTATCAAAAGAGAAATAAAGAAGTCAATGGAAATAAGCTGTGAGGCCAGCTATTGAGATTCTTATCTTACCATTTCATCCAAAGCCTCAGGCGGGAGTTTTCAGAGGGCTTCAGACATCTTGTTAATTTTTTGCCCAAGAGCTTTTTCAGAAAAGGGAGAACCCAGGCAAAGATTACCAGGCAGGTGATGACAAACAAGGCCAGTGCCCTCTGGAAATTCAAGATGCAAGCTGCCAGGAAATAGGCAGCATAGGCTAAAAAGAGAAGACACAGAATAAGGATCAGCAAGGCAGCACTTCCAATGGGCAAATGAAACTCCAGTCATGATTGTCTGGGATGACAGCAAGAAAAACCCTCTGGAGACCTTGCCATCCAGCCCTACTGTCAGATGGAGCTGTACTTCTTGAGGCCAAGATAGATGTCTTCTAACCGTCCTCTTCTTGAGGATTCCCAAGGACAGTCTGACTTAGTGCAAAGACTGCTTATTTTCACTGGTCCCTAATTAAATCTCACTTCCTTTTATTTATCAAATATCGTCTGTCTCTTGGAGTAAATTTGATTAGTGTCCATCATTAGACTCTTCAGAAGTCAGTCACCCCCCCTTGAGACTTTATTACCTCTGTCACTTTAACATTTCCTCTTGAACAAACCATGTAAACAAGGCTACCGCTAGGAAGCGCAGCCATGTGGACCTCATCCCATGACTGCCTTACTCATCTCAAAATACAATTTTTGTTCCCACCACATGACTGCCTTACTCATCTCAAAATACAATTTTTGTTCCCACCATCCCAGCTACCTCCTATTTTGACAGCAAAGCCCCATATACCACTGATAGAATGTTTTAAACAGAGCTTTGCTGTCTTTTAAACATATTTTATATCATTGATCTTACTAGTAAACCATCAAATAAGTAACATATAATACAGGCTTCTCTCATAAAGGCTACAAAAATCATGCACTCCACCAAATCAAGGCACTCAAAAAAGGATAAGCCCACATTCTCTGAAATATTTTAAATTTATCAAATAGTACAGTTTTGAAAAATAATTTATTCTCAGATTTTACTTGTTCCTGTAAGTGCAATTCAATACATTATAGTTCATCTACAAGTAGTTAAAATCAATACATCAAATAGCCTTTTAGATCAGTTTTGAATAAAAATGCCTTCCACCTGGTAATCACTTTGACACAAGGCAAATTTCTAGAATAACTGTGTTTCTCACTTTCATGCATTCTCAATATCTCACCCAAACACAACAGGCCCAACAGGATCTTCTTGAACAAGCTGGTGTGTGTTTTGCAGAAACTTCTTGCTTTGGTGAAAGGCCACTGACTCCTCCTAATAAGAACCCAAAAGTTAAGATACAAGAATTACTCCATCCCATTTCTATTTGACTTTCAGAATTCCGATTATGAACCACAAGGCAGAATTAGCTCTTAGTCGATGAAGAATATTCTTCAGCCAAGAACATACTTCAGGGATAGGTAGTGTCCCGCAATGCCAAAAAGTGCAAATCAAACCTTGCCAATGGGCAGTAGGTCAGAATACCCTACTCAGCCTGGACTAGCAATATTCTTGGTAGTCACCTATCATAGAAGTGGGCATTGCTCATGTCAGGAGTCTACTTCTTTCCCATTTTGAAAGGACAGGGAATTGCTAAGCTTCCGTATTCATGGGAGGGTCTATTCTTAGAGGCAATTTGGCCATCCCTCCCTAATAACCACACAAATTTATGGCCTTGAACAGTCTGCCAACTGTGCATTGACAGAAAGGAAAATGCCACCAAGTTCAAGAATCTCTCTGGATGGGCAGGCCCAAGAAGAGGACTAGCAAGTTGGGATATTCAAGTTTGATTTCAGAAACATGTATATAGTACTTTCTCTATGCTGAGCTCTTTCTAAGAACTTGGCAAATACTAACTCATTGACTCATCTTAAGACCCCTGGAGCTGTTACTATTAGTATTCCCATTTTACAGGTGTGGAAACTGAAAAACAGAGAAGTTAAATAACTTTCTCAAAGTCACAGAGACTGTAAGAAGCAGACACAGAATCTACACTCCAGCTGTCCGGCTTCAGCATCTGAGCTCTTAACCATCATCTTATGCCGTGTCTTCCCTAAACTCCAGGCTTGCCTGTCTTTGCCACTCCTAAGTATGCTCAGCATGCTGTAGCCATCTGAGCAAAAAGCTCTAATTTCCAAAATCTTGGAAGTTCCCAAGATGGTGATCCCAGCAAGAAGGTCCCAGTCTGACAGTCATGCTGTGGCAGGGCATCTTAGCCAGGGTTAGAGACAGCCACTAACTCCTAATGCTCTAGGGCTTTGGCCTATAGAGTTCCATGGCTGCCTCTCCCATCTAACACTCCCAGTTTCTAGCCTTCCTTTTCATTCCTTCCCCCGTCCCCTCCTGCCCCTTCTGCAGTGAACCCAACCCTGTGTTAGCTGAACAGATTGTGTACTATGCAATACAGGTAAGCTAAGAAAGGAGAAAACAGTGCCTATCACCATCTGACTAGATCAATTCAAGATGATTCTTTAGGATCTCAAGACCTCTGCTTTGCTTTGCTTTGCTTTGCTTTGCTTTCCTTTAAGAGACAAGGTCTCACTGTTGCCTAGGCTGGACTGCAGTGGCATGGCATGATCATGGCTCACTGCAACCTTGAATTCCCAGGCTCAAGTGATCCTCCTGCCTCAGCCTCCCTAGTAGCTGGGACTATAGGTGTGCACTACCACGCCCAGATAATTTTCTTTTTTAATTTTTGTAGAGGTGAGGTCTTGCTATGTTCCTCAGGCTGGTCTCAAACTCCTGGGCTCGTGATCCTCATTTTCCCATGCTTAATAGAGAAGTAGTGAGTAAAAGGGGCATAGTACCTCAGGACATCTTTATCTTTGGGACATTATTTGCAAAGTACATCAAGGAATGAATTTAATTTCAATCCTGTCCTTTCCATGCGTGACAGATACCTTTGGTGTGCTCCTCCAGCGCCACTCTCCACCCGACTCTGTGCCCTGGGAATTGAACTCATGTGAACTACATCAATGCACTCCTATTCCCTCTGGCTTATCAAGTTGGGTTCTGCTACTGGGACCTTCATAGGAGATCAGAGCCTATGAAAAGACTGAGATCAGTGCATTGAAGAGATCTTTTTATCTGACTTTCCTGCCAGGTGCTCTTACATCTTATTCCTTCAGGCCAGGAAATAGTAACTGCTCACTGCTTCAAGACTTAGGTTCTTGCACTATCCTTTCTTATGGTTTCACCACTTGTCATACATATCTTTGTCATGGTCTCTTTGTAAATAAATTCTCCTCTAATTATCCTAATTTAAGTATGCCATCTGTTTCCTATTGGGACCTAAACCGATGTACTACATAAAGCTGGTTTAAAATTATATGCAGTAGAATGCCAGTTGAGCAAGCCTCCTGCAAAATAAGAGGGGGGCGCGGACTAGTCCAAGAGTAGATACAAATCACATACCTAGAAAAGATTTCTGCCATCACCTCCTGACCAAAACTCAGCATTTTCTGGGAACAAAAGTTCAGTGAGTACTACAGAAAATCAGTTAAGAACACTCATTTCTGCAAAACCCATTGACAACCTGGTCCTAGAATGTCAGGTTGGAATTGAGCCTCAGGGTTAAAAAAAAAAAAAAAAAAAAAATAGGCTGGATGCAGTGGCTCATACCTGTAATCCCAGCACTTTGGGAGGGCGCGGCGGAGGGATCACCTGAGGTTAGGAGTTCCAGACCAGCCTGGTCAACATGGCAAAACCCTGTCTCTACTAAAAATACAAGAATTAGCCGGGTGTGGTGGTAGGTGCCTGTAGTCCCAGATACTCTGGAGCCTGAGACAGGAGAATTGCTTGAACCTGGGAGGCAGAGGATGCAGTGAGCCGAGATCTTGTCACTGCATGCACTCCAGCCTGAGTGAGAGAACAAGACTCCATCTCAAATAATAATAGTAATAACTCATTAATTAAAAATAAAATCCATAAGGAACTTTCTAAAAGAAAAAGAGAAAACAGGCTTTCTCATCTTTTTAAACCAATTGAGAAACAATTCAAAGAGGCATCTGGGCCCTGGTATCTTGCTTGGCACAGAATCTTGCTAATCCTACCAAGCTCTTTACATAATGGTACAATTTGTGTATTAGTAACTGTGTTATATCAGGAAGCTGAATTGAGAAGAAATCTGATAGGTGGTAAAATTTGATACTTTGCCCATAACCCACTGATACTTTGCCCATAACCCACTAATAAGTTCTCCAGCTATGTGTGAGATAGTTCCAGGAATGGTCTAATGATGACCCTCTCATGTACGTGCTTGCTTCCTGCAGCTCCCAGTGACAAGGAGGGCATGAGTACGTAATGGTGGTGGACAGTACCAACTGAGCATAACTTTTGTGGGCCCTATAAGTCACAGCAAGGGTGTTCATGCATTGCCAAGAGGTTAGGCATTCTTAGTCACAGTATGACATCGGAGGTTGACAGGACTGGTATCACAACATACAGGTCATAAAGACCCTGCTGACAAAGCAGGATGTGGAAAAGTAGTCAGCTAAAACCCACTAGAATCAAAATGGTAATGAAAGTGACCTCTGGTTGTCCTCATTGCTTATTATATGCTAATTATAATACCATTAGCATGCTAAGAGACACTCCCACTAGTGCCATGAAAGGAGGTTTACAAATACCCTGGCAATGTCCAGAAGTTACCTTATATGGTCTAAAAGGAAGACTAGCCCTCACTTCCAGAAGCCCCCCACCTCTTTCCCAGAAAACTCATGAATAATTCACCCCTTGTTTAACAGCATACGATCAAGAAATAACCATAAAAATAGCCAATCAGCAGCCCTCGGAGCTGCTCTGCCTATGGAGTAGCCCTTCTTTTGTTTCTTTACTTTTCTAGTAAACTTGCTTTCACTTTACTCTGTGGACTTCCCCCTAATTCTTTCTTGTGCGAGATCCAAGAACCCTCTCTTGGGGTCTGGATTGGGATCCCTTTCCAGTAACAACCCTGCCCACAAGATGTGGAAACTCTCTCAACTAAGGGAGACAAAGCTGTGGGAACTCCCAGAGTCTAGGGTACTACCAGTTAGCAGTTAGAATGGAAAACTTGGGACAGCCTTCAGAGAATCTAGCTCTGGTGTCTGTTGACATTGTGGCCCTGGAGGAATCTTTGCTGCTCTAGCTTGAAGCAAGGACTCAAAGAAAGGAAATGAATCACCCAGAACCAAAGGGTAGTATGAGTGAAGAGTGAGGACCTCCAGGCAGAAGTGACCAGAATCATTTTAAGTAGTTAAGAGTTTTATTTTAAAGATGGCATAAAAGGAATTGGTCAGTGGGTACTATACTAGGTACCACTTTGCCAGATTCAAAGCTATATATACAACTGGTTTTGAACCAGAGTAGAGCTGGGTGGTGTTGTATAGGGACCAGAGAACAATTACCAAAAGTGTGAAGAGGAGAATGGTGACTGAGTCTGAGAAGCAGAAGGTAGTCCATAGCCAAGGTGGAAAGCCAAATAGGGGTTGGTTGGAAAGCCAGGGAAGACAAGAGAAAGGCCTATCACTTGGAAGCCAGCAAACTTGTATCGCAGGCAGAGGCTTTGCACAGCTGGGGATGGCCAGTTCTGAGAGCCCTCAGCCCAGGTAGAGTGAGAAAGGAGCCTAAAGCAGAACACAGCCAGATGCTTCACTGCTGAGCTGTAGTCGATATGTTGCCTTGGAAAAGAAAGCTCCATTCATACAATACCATCTCTGCTTGCTGTGCCCATCTCCGACAATAGCAAATGTCAGCTCTCCTTTACACTAACTGTGGGGACACAATGCCAAAGATCCACAAAGACAGGAAGGACCTGCATGGTGGAGTTTTCCTTCAAGTCACACTCAGCTTCTTCCTTCCAGAACTCTTATCTCTCTTAAGTTAGAGGTAGCAGTGATTCCAAGAGGCAGTGGAGTCTTTGTAGAGAAGATGCTCTCTCTCATGAGGGGATCATGATTCCACCTCCAGTGACCTTTGGAGACCGGGCCCTTCAGTTCTGCTTACAAGCAGAAGTTTCTCTGGGTTTGTAGTATATGGTGAAAGAAATAAAAATATTTTACCCCAAAAATATATTTCTCTAATACATTTTGAGATGGCTATTCAGAGAGCCAGTAAACAGAAGTAGCCCGCAAAGCTGTCTTTTGTGGGAGAGGTTTGCATCTGCACTGAAGCAGCCAGGTTTTCTCTTATCTGGATCTAGGGAAGACTCACTGAGTCTGACAGCTTTGAAGGTCTGAAAGACACATTTATCATCTATTCTCTCTGAGGGCTTCTACCTGTGAGGTTTCATTTACATG